CTTACCCCCATCCTCGCTCCTCGACCGGATTATGACGGATAACCTGGTCCTTCTCGGTATTTCGTACTCTACACTGATCCATTCCGCGGCACTACACGGTGCAGACCTGATCCGTACCACAGAGGTGGGTACTCTACTTAGTAGGTCAGCAAGCAAATATATGGAATATTCGATAGTAACAGTGTTTTGTCACCACCGGCACGAATTGACTCAGCATATATCTTCCATTGTCGACTCACTGGCCCAAGCTTCAAACGGGAATTTACTGACCACTTCTTCCCATCAATCTTTCCTGAACCACCACAGCGACTATGAGAGCCATACCATATGTTCATACATTGTATCATACATACTTGTCATTTTGAAATATATAATATTATCCCTATGTGAAAGAGTGTCCTGTGTTGAAAGACATGGTGTGTCATACGTTTAGCAAATTAGGTCATACTGCGAGATTCTGTCCTACAACACAATCCGGAAGTAATGTAGCGGCAGAAGCGTCTGGGGAGTTGCATATGAGTGCAGATGGGACACCTGAATTGTGACATGCAGCGGCAGCTCGTTATGAAGGACCAGACCAACCATTGGTATATAGTTATGTGGAGAGTGAACAGTGTTATGTCGATATGTTTGTTGATTAAGGAGCCGATATATCGATGATTTCTAAGGGTTTCGTAGGGCGTCTGGGGCTGGTTGCTCAGTATGGTTTGTGTGGTGAGTGGGTTACAGAATTTGGTGCTCCGCTTTATGTGGAATACAGGGTGCGAGATGTTGGATGTTGTTTTGTCTACTTTAGTAGGAGAAAGGAGTTGTTTCCGGTTGAGGTGGTAAGAGAGTAGCCATCAGACTTTAAGACTTGGTTGAATAAAGAGACAGCATGTGGCGGCGCCGTTATTATATTAGCGAGTAGAACAGGTAACACCATCTGATAGTATGCAAGATGATGTGGGTTATGATTCCGGGGGTGAGGACAATATCTAATGTTCGATACGAGTGGCTTGTAAATGTTGGCTGAAGAACTGAGGAAGTCTATGGAAGAATTGGAAGAGTTGGTGGCGGCTATTAGCTGGGTGGCGTACAATGACCAAAAACCCGAAGTTTGTGAGGGATCGGATGCTTAAACTTCAGATCAAAGAAAGAGGGACGCCTTTGAGACAAGTATACGCGGAGAAAGGTGTGCGACTTATAGAAGTGTTGAAGAAGAAGGTGCAATTATTACTTGAAGCTGGGTTGATAGAGAGGGTGCAAAATACGAATTGACTTACAGTGCCAAAACTTGTGCCTAAAGTGCCGGGTAGTAGTTCCAGTTATGAGAAACCCAACAATTGGAGAATGTGCATAAAATATATGCGTACGAATTATCAGCTAGATTGGGGTACATATCCGATACCAACAGAAGATGAGTTTCTGGCAACAGTTAAGGTGTGTAAGTGGAGAACCAATGTGTACGCTAGAAATGGTTTTGGGCAGTTAATGATAGAGCCTGGTAGTTGAGGGGTTAATCAGTGTTTTGGATGGTGGGCGAGATACGTTCCGAGTTTCATTTTAGTTTAATATAGTCTGAAACCTAGTAATTTCCATCGAAGTTTACATATATATATATATTTAGTTATGTTGGCGTACAATACAACAGTTAAGTCGGCCACGGGTATCAGCCCATACTATCACGTTACGTGCAGACATTGTACGGGGCAGGTTGATAGAGTATTTCAGACAAAGTTGTTGCAGGTGATAGGTTCTGAGATTCTGAGTGAAGCTGCTGTGCGGGATAGATCGGGTGGCCATTAGAGATGAAATGGCGAAGGAGGCGCAGGCAAAGGCGGCAGAGAAGAATAAAAAAGATTGGCAGCCGGGGCAGTCGGTTTGGTATACTGGTAGGTCGAAGGATAGTAAGTTGGCGAAAACCTATTTAGTGAGAGGCACGATTGTAATGAGGGAATACATACAAGGGGTGTACAAGGTCAGAATTATTGGGAAGGTTAAGTCAATACATGTGGATCAGCTTAAGGTGAGGTTAGAGGATCTGAAGCATGAGGCCAGTATTAGAATGTATAGGAGGGAAGCTTGTTTGATCTGGCTGTACAATTTTACTGGTGAAGGGGCAGCTAGTGTCATAGAACTTGATGAAATGGTGGCAGTAATGCGATCAACAAAGATGGGCAAGACTTGGTTATATGCCATAAATTCAACTTTTGGTATATATGTTGATACGATAGTCGATGCGGCGAAATGAGGTGAGAGTAAGGGCGTGATAGAAGATATTTTGGATTTAGCTATGAAGCATTACTTCAATAAGAACAGGTGGAACAAGTTGCAGATGTTCTTCCAGGTTGCGAGTGATCCCATTTTGCGGAAGAAGCAATTGGGTAAATGGTTGAATGAATGAACTCGACACTAGTGTCTTGTTCATTGGGGAGGTGTAATGTAAATGTTGGCGAACGACCGTGCAGGTTGGTGTAAGATTGGTACTTTGCGAACCGAAGTGCGTGGTAATATGAGCTGGAGGTTGGCAGATGGCGATATATGTTGAATGGACTTGTAGGCTCGAAATCGAGAAGATACACGATCTGATTGGCGGCAGGATTCTCAAGGACATCCTTCGGAGATAGTATAAATACGTGGTTTTAGACGTTTATTTAACAATTGAGGAAATAAAACTAAGTTCACCGTTACATTGTGTTTTGAGTCGATCTAAGATTACATTTTGTTGTTATTTGTTTTTGTTTTTAAAAAATATATTATGTATCCCTTGCAAAACATTGTTCGTATTTCACAAATAAATAGCCTGTGCAACTCTTGTTGTGTTTTGATTCTTTTGACGGCTATTTAAATATTTGTTGTTGTTTTATTTTTTGATCTTGTTTTTGATCTAAAAAAATAAAACAACACGAAACAGATTTTTGAGGCACTGTAACGGACTCTGGGAGTCTGGGGTGAGTGTTGCTCGGTGTGACTGTGTGGGGCAGTGGGGCGTGGGGCGTGGCCGCGGGGCGTGTCAGGCTGTCACCTGTGGAGATATTTATATATATTTTTATTTCATGATTCCACTCGTTCAGATATTCAGAGAAGCACATGCCCTGTTGTTGACGGCTACCACATAAAAATATCAAAAAAATAAATTCTTCGATGAATGAAAGGAATGGAGCTTAATTTTTGTAATTTTTTAATGACCATCACAATCAGTAAAATAAAAGGTTTAATTATTTATGTATATAAATAGATAGAGGTGATTTGAATTTTTGAAAACGCGAACGAACCCCGAGCCGAACATCAAAATCAAGACAGAAACATATAAAGCCACATGACTTTTGCTGCCGTACTCTCATATTGGCAACGTATGTAGATGTATTTAGAGGATTGAATCGCGCACACCAACCTTCTAAACAAGAACGTTTTAAAACGCATGCATTTACGCGTTGTCACTGTTTTCAAGCACTTCTCAACAGTCTCGAGACTTCTCAACCTTGTATAGGACTTCTCCTAGTATAAGCACTTTTCAACAGTCTCAAGGCTTTTAAAACTGGTACAGAAATCCCCCTATTATTTCGATATGCTTACGCTGCGTTGCTCATCCCGAACCATTACAGCGCTTTATTAATTCGCTCTCAATTCGAATGCATTGACCGCAACCACAAGCTGTACCGAAGAATTGCACTTGTTACGTCTGAAATTATGCACATATTTTCCACTGTTGAAGCCGAGATACATTTATACATTCCTATGGGAGTATTTGTATTCTGAACTCAACAGAGAAAATACCTTGTCATGTATAGTTATACGCTCACCGATAACATATTTCTCCGGATAGTTCTAGCCTTCTAGTATAACATCGCTTACACATAATAGTACCACACGCAAGCAGTACGGCAAGAAAGACGAAGTCCCATATTTCAATTCTTGAAGAATATGTGCGCGCTCCCTTCATTTTGTTTTCATTATCTGACGGCCATATACTAACCGTATAGATGTTTAATTCAGCTCCTGCTAGTGTGGGAGCGTACACAAGTCTCGCCTTCCTTAGTCCGAATGACGAACGTGTTCACGAATAAGGCGCCATTGTAGGTTTTGGTTCATAAGTAACCAGATCAGCAATACTTTGATGAGTGCTCCGATCAGCCTACTTCTTACGCTGTAGCGACTCCTGTAAATACCACAATTGTTCAAAAGAAGATCGCGTGAGAAAAAACCAACAAATAAACAACTGTATATATTTAATATGTATAAATATATATATATATATTAATATACACGTATATATATATATATTGATTTATATATATATATACATATACATTGATATATATATATATATATATACTGATATGCATATATATATATATTGAAACATTGTAATATATATATATATATAAATATATATATGTGCGTGTGTGCGCGAGTTTGTGCATGACTATATGAAAATATGGATATAGAGAAAAAGAAATAGATACATGACTATATATAATATAAGTATATACGTGAATATGTGTAAATATTTCAATTGTATATACATAAATATTTTTATATTAAGATACATACATGTATATTGATAGTTACATATACATATATATATATTTAAATATTGCAAAATATAGCTATGTATGTATACACAGCATTAGATAGATATAGATAGATATATATATATAGAAAGATACACACACAAATATATATATGCATGTGTGGATGCGTATAAACATACTAAACATAAAGATAAACAAATACGTATATAAATATATATATAACAAACATGATAAATATATATATAGATATATACAAGTATATATCTACATTTATATATATATATGTATGTATGCATGTATATATATATAAATATTTATATTCACACACACACACACGCACATATATATATATATATACATGTTTGTACATATATATTTATACATGTTTGTATACATATATCTATATATATATATATTTATACATATATATATATATACTTATATATATATAAATGTCTATGCATATATGGACTGATAGAGATAGCGATAGCAATATATATATATGTATATATACATACAAACCAACGTAAAAACATATGTGTAAATATATATATATATATAATATGTATAGCTATATATATATATATATACATATATATATGTGTGTGTGTGTGTTTGTATATGTATATATATATATATATATATATATCGATCTACCTATCATGTACATATATGAATTAATGTGTCTATTCACATACTTACATTCGTATACATACATGTGTAAATATGTTTGTTGCATCTTAGCAGACTCGTCTATTCTATGCTGAATCCGATCTCTATACACATACCAGTCGCGTCTTACTCTGCCGCAATGTCGACTCAGCATTTATTTTCTTCTGTCTCAGCTCTCCGGATCGATCTCTCAGCTGTGTAATTCTATTTATAGACAGATCCAGAGTGGCTTGGAGTAGATTCGCGCGTAGTTCAGCTAAGGCTTCGCTGGGGTATGTAGGTGAAGTCTCATTGCGAGAACACCATTTAGTTTGGCAATCTCCTCCTGCTAGCTCCCTTAATCTTATCGTACGTGCGTTTACAGAGTCATTCACACTGGCGGTGCGCACGTCCACAGGTACATTCATTTCTGTGGTGTGTATGTCCTCAGGTTCATTCAAACTAAACGTATGTTCGTCCTTAGTTCCATTCCTATTTGTGATGTTCATATTCGCTGCTGCAACTCGTTTTAACGTGTTTGCACGCTCAGAATTAGTCTGGCGTGCCGCGTGTGTGGCCTCATTCGAGTTGTCCGCTCCTGTGGTATGTGAACCCTCGCTGAAGCCGCACCCGATCTCATGCAATGCACTATCTCCGTGACTTTCGGGCGCGAAATCGTCGTCATCCGTATAAGCTACAGTACTCATATCCGAACAAGCTATGCCTTTGGTAATACCAGTCGTTTCGTGCATAGTATGGTCTTGATGGCCCCTAACCACACATCGATCTCTGGCCCGACTTGTTCGCGTATAATCCACTCGTATTGTGCTGACATCGGTGGCCGCACCATTGGTATGAACGCTAGACGCCTGTGCACTTGCACTTGCAGCTGAACTGCCACATTCTTCTATTGAAACACTACGCAATTCCTTTGTCTGTCTAGCACCAAACTTTTGAACTACAGAGGTCCCCTTCGTGGCAGGCTTTACAAGTTTGGCAGCGTGTGCACTCTTATTGATACTACGATTTCCGGTAGCTATGGCTCCTTTGGCTGGGATAGCTCGGTACACACAGGCGTGACACTCACCCATACTGGCTCTTTCCAACTGCACAAACTCCAGGTGCTGACGGTGGCGTCGATTCTTCTCTATTAATTTCGCACTCTCATGCTTTCTCAGCATCTTGTCCGCCGCATCCACGCGTCCTTTAGCACTCTTAGTTCTTTTACGCTTGCCGTCATTGTCCCTATCATCCGACTTCGGTGTAGGGGTGGGTATGCATACTGCACGGTTATCCGCAGTAGGTACCACCCCCGTGAGTATATCAGCGACTTCATTCGGCGCCCGTGTTTGTATGCACGGTGGACTGGCCGAGCGAGTTCGCCCCAGTACATACGTTGTTCCCTTCAGTGTATTACACGTTCGCATTTCTCTGTGAGATGCGTCATTCTCGTGGGCTTGAGTACGTACAGGGTTTGCTGCACAAGAACATTCGTTGCTGTGTGCATATCCGCTTTGCATATCTTCCTGCTCACTTATACCGTGAGGCGGGCATATGCGAATCCTCTTCCTTGTCCCACTGGCCCTGCTCTCACAGTCGACATTTCTCCGCTCACTCTGTACATACTTGGAGAGATTCTCCCGCACGCGTAATAAGTACTCATACTCCGCGTTCACCATATCCGGGCCAGGTACCTCAACCATATCTCTCCTTCGGCCTTGCTGCGGTTTAGCATAAGTCCAGGACATGTATTCCGCATTATCAGTTGTTTGACAAGCCACACTGACCTTTGTGGATATGCGCACATGGGATTTATCCGTCACTGATGGTTGTTTCTCTCTCTCCCGTTTGCGACGTGCACGAGCACGGGCCGCTGCCTCGGCAACCGAACTCAGAGTCAAGGCGGAGGTCAGAATGGGTACTCGTTGTTCTGTACTACTTCTTACATTATCAGCCACCTCGCCCACCTCGCCCTTTGTCCCACCTGGCAATCGGGGTAGTATATCAGTTGTATCATTCGTGCTTTCGGCCGGAACTGCACTGACATTTGTATTGCTTGTATCATCTATTAGCTGTGCTCGCTTGTTTGAGTGTCCTGCAGGCGGTGTGTATGTCAATGACGGCAAATGTGGTTGTGCACCAGTGTGTCGTTCTGAGCGCGCATCCACAGAGAGTGCAGTTTCACGGCTTTGCACTACTGGTCCATTTGTGTTCATTTCAGTACTACGTCTGACACATGTACCATTTTCATCTTCCCTACCTGTATTGGGATCTTCAGTAGCCATCCTAGTCGTGTTCACTATCGCCCTCACACCCTTTATAGATGTGACAGCCTCAGTCTCCACACCTAAAGTCTCCTTAGATACGCTCTGCAAAGAAATAGTGTTCTCAACTACACTAGAAGCTATGTCTGCCAATCCCATACTCCCGTCTTTACTTGGTCGCGCCATATCGGATTCTTCGTTGTAGCTTGACATGTCTACAATCGATTTGTGGATATCCCCATTTGCGTATTGGGATTTTTTTAGCCCCATTTCGGTGTGATCTACGTCGTCTTGTGTAACACTCATGCTGTTGTTGCTCGCGTAGGACACGGTTACCACACGGTTGCAGTGCGTAGCATTCACATTAACTGTCGAATCCACAATGTCGAACAATTCCCCGTTGCCATCAGTCACGAATGCTACACAATTAGGGTCATTTTTAGAGCCAATCCGTTCACTAATAGAGACATCAGTTCCGATTCTCAAATCAAAGGCGCTCGGAGATATGGGAGAGAGAGGCTCTGAAGGCGGTGGAGTGAATATTCCCCGTTGGAAATCCGGCACGGCGTACGGGTGGTCGTGTAGCACACAACACGCTATATCGGGAACAGTGGGTCCACTTGCATCCGCACTGCCTTCTCGGGACTCTTCTTCTCTGTGCGTGTATCTATCCTGTTGTGTTTGTCTGGTAGAAGCGCTATTGGAATTTGATGTGCACATGTCGGTAAATATCTACCACGGAAGCACTGCATCTAGCTCTTATACACCTTAAATTAAGTGGCATAGAAACATGAATCGGAAGTGCGTTAAAATATCAGCATCGAACACTGAGATGGAGAACTATAGCGAGATTCAGACCCTATTCTACGAATAAATAGTTTGAATAGTGTGCACCGTTGATCGGTTTGTGACCGAAATCGTGGACACAAAACTTATAGAAAACAAAAAACCTCTGGGCTACGCAAGTAATGAATTCAATCATAAGTGATTAGGATTTAAAACGCGCATGACCATAAATACCATCGCTGTTATGCGAAGTGGAAGGCCTCCATGAAAGCTTTATTATAAAATATTTGATAAATAAAATGTTTGTGATTACATTTAAACATCGTCACATTGTCCCCCAGTCCCACATGATCTGATGATCATCGTATATATTTATATGATTTTTCATTTATTAAATTTTAAAAAAGATAATAATAATAATACATGGCCCAGTGGCCCACTGGATGATGATGAGGTCAACAGGCAATTCAGACAAATGGGCTGGGCGGGAGCCCCTCTACACGCGCTCCTTAGGAGTCCACGACTCAGAAGAAATGAATAATCATAGCCGCCTGTACCAAATCAATGGCACATATCATTCTTGTCAGTCATAAAACCAAATCAATTGGTTGAAGATCAAAATAAAAGTGCTTTATCAATGATCATACGCATAATGGCTAATATATGCGTTTTTTTGTTCGATAAGAATTTTGTATCCAAATACTATTCGTTGGAATAGAAATATATTTCTTATAGCATAATCTTTTATATGTATGGCCCTCTACTAGAGAAGTTGTCGCTTGATAAAAAATGGTCTGTCCCGATGAACCATTTATCCAGAGTCTGGGATAGGTCCCAGAGACCCAGACTACGGAGCAGGACAGAAAATCATTTGAGGGCCACACCGGCCCAGTGAGAGAAGAATTTTGTTTTTGTATTTTTTTAATAAATAAAAGAGAACACATATAAACAGCTGTGCGCCTGTGCGCCTGTGCCTGGGCTCCCACTCTCTCTAGAGTAGACCAGAGTTCTGGACTCAGTCGTCTGGATTCTGGGCCTGTTGTCGTGCAAAATACTGGACGGTCCGGATCTCATGCCGGTTAAAAAAAAGTTAAAATAAGCATTAAACGAAACTAAATAAGGTCCCCGTCTAAATCCGCCCTAAATAATAAATATATTGGTCTGAGGCTTAGGTCTGACCGCCTGAGCCCTTAGGGCTGAGGTGCAGGCGGGTATTTATGAGACTGTCTGGGACTTGGGACTTGGAGACTCGAGTCTGACTCTCTAAAAGTCAATGAGACTGGACTTAGCGACGACTCCGAGGGCGAGTCTCGGACTCTCGGTATGTATGTACAATTGTACATTGTACTACATACATATCATAATCCTGATAGCCAATCATATTGCGTATCCTATTGACAAAAAAAAACATATAAAATTCTCTATCCAAACCTTCGGAGCCAAAAAAGTATTTATACATACCAGTGAAAATACTTTTGTTTTAGCATTACGTCATGTATAGCCAGCCTATAGGCTATAGCTTATAGGTTGTGTTTCACTGATTTGTACGTTAGCTACATATGTACCAAATTTCCATATTTAAAAATGTACTTTGGAGGTCGGTTCTGGTTTTGATTAGGACCAGGAGGCAGGAGTACTCACAAGATTAGAATTGCGCTGGATCAGGATTTAATTTGAATTTGATAACATTTGACGTTAGCTACTTTAGAGTTTAGGCCAAAATATCTCAGAAATTCAAACCGGACAACTTTCAAGGCACGAAACTATTACCGCCCTATAGGCAATAAGTCTGCTACAAATTTTCTATTTTTTCTTTTTAAAACAAAACAAAAACAAAATTATATTAGAATAAAAGAGCCAAATTTCATAATTTTTCACACCAAGAACAGACAAAAAATCGGAAGATTAATTATCAGGCCCTCTGAATATGGGTCTCGGGCAGAAATCAGATCGTAGCGGAAAAAGTAAATTTAGCGCAGACCCAAATTCAGAGGGCCATGGAAATTAACAAGCACAACAGCACGCTATACATGGCTATTGACATTACACCTAATTGAAATACGGCAAAAGATAGCTAAGATATATACATAGCGTGCTTCGTTCAGTATCAGCTACATGTGTTTCCGCACTGCCGCAGAAGCCCTAACGGCAGTGATGGATGCCATCTTTTATTTCGTTCAAATTAATCGATTATGTCGTAGCCATTACGTAGTCATTTTTATGTGGGGGGGGGGGGCGGACAAAAAAATATAGTAACTGCGTACCCAAATTACCGAAACAACCTACAGCGTCCATTATAGAGTCATCGTACGACGTATAATTTACCTTTCAAGCGGCTGTTCTCGTCTCGATCTCCTTGTTCCTCTATTGATTGGACATAATGTTTGAAATAATGCTGCTAATCAATATAGCCATGTATAGCGTTTCAAAGGCATTGTATGTGTGACAGATTTATTTTTGAAGCTACTAATCAATAGCCATGTGTATAACATTTCAAAGGCATTGTATGTGTGGCAGATTTTTTTTATGGCCCTCTCGATATGTAATAGGGTCGCGAGCAGTCTGAGTCTCTGAGTCTGAGAGACTGAGACAGGCCAGAGACCAGCTGAGGCCTGAGAGTGGGAGGCAGAGACACTAAAATCTAAATGAAGTCTAAAAATATATCTATCAGTGTGCCCGTGAATATTCACTAAGTGGCCAATGAGATTAATATTACGACAAAAGTTATAAAACTATTGTGGATTTATATACTCGATATCTCTGATTGGATATGGACCCTAGCAACAAGCGATGTTTCAGTATTTTCAGTTTCACATAGCCAAAGTCTTAACATTTCTGATGAAAAATGGATGCTCTCTTGAGTCTTGAGTATCTCTTCTTGTGTAAATATGTATTTAGTCTCTTATTGTTAATACACGTGATACAGATCAGTGACTCGGTGTAGAGTATACTTTTTCATTTCTGGTACCATAGAAACGATTTTTATTCATAACAATTCTTGTATTTTTATAAAATCGTTCATATTTACATATTATACTTCATATTTTTTTTTAAACTTTTGTCACAAAGTCACAGTCTTTCTCATATCAAGTGGGTTTAATAAAGACATACATAATGATCTCGAAACAACTGTACAATGGTGTTTATCTATTGAAACTATTCGTGATTACGATTGGCATTTACTGTGTTTACTACTCTGCGATATATCATTTTACGTACACGGCAGACCTCCAAAGCTTATCGACTGAGCCAATGAAAAGGATAGCGTCAATTGAAAGAGTACAGCTACATGAGCCCGAAACGGCAGAACTGCAGCCCAAAATAATAGAACAGCAGACCGAAACAATGAAACATCACAAGTCCATAAAGGTAGAACACCAGCTTAAACCAGAAACCCTACAAAAAGAGTCGAAAGAACGGCCGCCAGCGATACGCTTAGAGCCTGCAATAACTCTTCCACAAAACACGAGTGTGTCGCTGTTGCAGAACAAAAATCGGACAGTGCTACTCGGAGTGTTTTCTCATGCTTGTGAGCTCGAAGCCCGTCGCCGCACTCGTATTCGTAACACGTGGGCTGCAAAGCTTCCGGACCAGGTATTGCTCGACGATTTTTGTTTCTTTGCACACAATAACTTGTGTGGTATCATTTCGCTGACAAATTGTTGTCATATATGCAATACATTCGGGCAAAGGGTACATATTCACTGTATTATCTTGATGGAAACGCAGTTTTTATATCATTTTTCATGGCCCTTTGAATTTGGGTCTCGACCGACAATCGAGTATCTGTCGCGGAAATCGTAAATTTGGCGAAGACCTTTGAGGGCCATGTAAATATATTCAAATATTTTCAACATGAAATACGTGACCGACCGGGCAAGTCGATAACTTGTGAAACATGACCCCCCGTTCCATCATACATTAATCACATTAATATATATATATATATATATATATATATATATATATACTTTAAAATACAGGTCCGTATGATTTTTGTACTATGCGAAGATCACGGTAACATAGACAACAGTACGACCACTAATCTCGCCAACGAGAAGAACATATTTAATGATATTCTATTCATGCCATGTATGGAGAACATGGACCATGGCAAGACCTTCACTTTCATGAGCACTGCGCACGTTATGCTTTCTCGAGAGGCTGAAGACTCGAACTCATTTGTGGATTACATCATGAAAATCGACGGGGATTCAATTTTGGGTGTGAACGCGCTACTAAAATTTCTGCGATTGGATAAAGTGCCTTCGGATAAGCCAGCCATATTTGGATGTCAGTATCTCTGGAGCCTAGACGATTGGAGGAAATTCAAAGCACCTGCCAATATGGACTACGGTCACTACATGAATGGTGGAGGTTACGGTTTCTCTCGTGTAGCTCTTGATTTCATCGCAACTAGTTCTTACGTACGCAACCACACAATTGGATACGAAGACAAGATGTCCGGACTATGGATGATGAAACTAGGGAGAAAAGCGGTAATGTTGTTGCGCGTGTTTAATCGTGAGTAGTGAATTTGAACACAATGGTGTTATATGGAATGTTTGCTTGTTTTGTACGCAGGACTCTGTTTTTTGTACCTCAAAAAGAAATATAAGCGGCCATAGCCTCCTAAATGAGACAAAGAGGCTCACGCATTGAATCTATTGGCATTTGTACGTACAGAAATGGTACAACATGTGCGCACATCCCACTGCGTTTATCGACAGCACCTGGATTAAGGACTCCGGCCGCTTCGGAGAACCGCTGACAACAGAAGTCGCCATTGTACATCACGTAAAAGAGGAACTTATATGGAATTCTGTGCACAAGGAAGTGAAAAGGTTTGAAGCTCTAAATAAGGGAGGAGACTATACGGGAGAAATGCAATACGACTGCTCATACTTGTCAGGGGCTATCGATTTGAAGTTCAATTCTAAACGGCGGTGGTGTGAAATGCCGTTGAAGACTTGAAAGTATCATCAAATACTGCCGTTCACTCGGATACTACCGAGTAACAGGGGTCGGATATATTGCATGCAAATATATATCGAAGACACACACACATAACACGTTATATCTCGTGAAATTACTTGTCATACCTAAATGTTGCAATTTATAAAAATATCGCTATGCGCAACAGGACGAAAGAATTATACGCTTAGTTCGTAAGTATTAAATAAGTATAACAAACACCGCATGCGCGATGGAGCGCGAGCTTCTCGAACGGAAGTGTACATGCAGAGCATGTACACGGAGTTGTCACCGGCCAATTTCCTGCCCAATACAAAATAAAGCCCGACATCGCGCATGCAAAATCAATATGTACACGATCATACAAAAATATATAGATATTCTTGCTTGCTAACATCATCATTGTTCACTCGTGGTGTACTTTCAGACAAGGATAATTCAACAGTGCACGTTTAACTGATCGCACCGTTTGATCGTAATAAAACGATCTTTTGGTTGAAATATCGTTTGTGATATACGACAGATCAGACTATTACATATATATATATATATATATATATATAATATATACATGTATATATCTAAATAATTATAAT